CTCAGTCGTTGTGGCGCACAGGCTTAGTTGCTCCGCGGCATGTGGGATCTTCCCGGACCAGGGCTCGAACTCGTGTCTCCTGCATTGGCAGGCGGATTCTTAACCACTGCGCTACTAGGGAAGCCCTCCTTTCCCTTTTAAAATGTGCTAATAAAATATGTATAGTTCATAGTGCTGGGGGAAAAAAGTGAACCCATGAAGCATTTTCTTGGTCTTGAATCTCTGCCCTCTGTCTAAAAAGATGTGTTTTCCTCCACTGAGGGGATCCCCTTGTCTGGGTCTGCTTAGCAAGTAGATTAAACAGATAAAGCCAGTACTGATGTTATTTTAAATTCGTTTTTAAAATGGCAGTCAGACCTTACTGGGTTCTAATCCATTCTCAGGAATATGCATCCATCCATTAGGAGGCAGAAACATGAGTTAGCAGTAGTCGCAATGGAAAAACAATCGCTCATTGTGAAATAATGTGATGCCCTTAACGTGTCCACAGAAGACACTGGACGTTATCTGTGATTCTTTTCTTTCTTTACTATATCTCCCTCCATTAAGATGCTATAATAGGCAGTGTGTATTAGAGTTACTGCTAGATAGCTTTGACTTTTTGAAGTACGAATCTTCATAAAGATCACTCCCAAACTAATTTTCAACCAGGCAATTAGCCAAGTGAAGATCCCCTTCCCCGGTGCTTGGTGAGGGGTAGACTCCAGCTTACCTGTGACAACATGCGTGATTAATAGGGACGGTGTTAACCCCTGTGTGTTGGTGCTACAAATGTGTGATTCTCCTTGGCATTTGAACTGCGCTATTAGGATCTGTGTCACTCTATAAGGACAAGCCTGGCCTGTCTTGTTAAGGGGAACATTTTGGTTTTCCCAGCTACATGTGGGCCATTTCCCCCATTTCTTTTTTTTTTTTTTTTTTTTTTTTTGCGGTACACAGGCCTCTCACTGCTGTGGCCTCTCCCGTTGCGGAGCACAGGCTCCGGACGCGCAGGCTCAGCGGCCATGGCTCACGGGCCCAGCCGCTCCGCGGCATGTGGGATCTTCCCGGACGGGGGCGCGAACCTGTGTCCCCTGCATCGGCAGGCGGACTCTCAACCACTGCGCCACCAGGGAAGCCCCCCCTGAGGTCTTTTTTGAGCTAGCCGTTTTTTGAACTGCCCTACGTCCCCGTCCCCTTCTCTCCTGCCCTGGGATTTTGATTCAGAAGGTTAAGATGGAGGCTAGTAAACAGGATTTCCATCAAGATCTGTTCTCCTGCCGTTGTCTGTGTGGACCTTTGGGAGCTGTCCCGTCGTTTAGAGGTCCATTGTATAGAGGCATTCCAAGCCCTGCAGTGATAAGGAACTTAGGCAGGGTCCCACCTAAGACCTGCCAGTCAAAGGTAGAAGTCTGTCTCCTCCTTTTGTATCATGTCCGTAGATGAGGCAGAAACAACCAGCAGATTCCCTGGGCTGTTTCTCCTGGACGCAGGCAGACTGCTGTTCTGCTCATTTGTTTTCCATCTCCTTGTCCTGGAGACTGTGTGTGTGTGCCTGTGACAGAGAGGGACATGGACTGAGCATGTGACCTCTGCAGTCTCCCAAGCCAGGACCAAACTCAAAGGTAACTAGTATGAGATCCGGTCTGAATTCTTCTTTATTTATTTGTTGATGTATTTTTGGCTGCGTTGGGTCTTGGTTGCTGCGCTCAGGCTTTCTCTAGTTGTGGCGAGCGTGGGCTTCTCACTGCAGTGGCTTCTCTTGTTGCGGAGCACGGGCTCTAGGCGCACGGGCTTCAGTAGTTGTGGCACACGGGCTCTAGAGCGCAGGCTCAGTAGTTGTGGCGCACAGGGTTCGTTGCTCCGCGGCACGTGGGATCTTCCCAGACCAGGGATCGAACCCGTGTCCCCTGCATTGGCAGGTGGATTCTTAACCGCTGTGCCGCCAGGGAAGCCCCTGGTTTGAAAGACTTATATCGAAAGACTTATTGTTAAGTGTATTACCTTTGCCATCCATTGTCGTGGTCTCATGTTTGTGTCAAGTGGGGCTCTGGTTAGCTTTGCACGCTGATGGATTCATCAGCAAGTTTCGGTCGACAGAGCAGCTTCCTAACAGGGGCCCCTTGGAGTCTGGCAAGCCAAGGCCTAAGATGTAGTACTTATTCTGATCACTTAGTGACAGACCAGACATGTATTTGCAAACTCATTTAAAATAAGCGAAGCTGACTTCTTGAAATTAACGTGAAACCTCACTTTCCTTTACCCTGATAGATGATGATGTGGAGTTGGGAAGAGAATGTAGGAGAATGAGGTGGTCATTTAGGTCATGGATCAGAAAGGTCCAGGAATTCATACTAGTTGTCTGACTTGACCTTGGTGACGTGGAGATCGCGGTCTAGCTCCTAGGGACCTGGTCCATGTAGGGAATGTCTGTATCTGCTGACTCATATGTGTGAACAGATGTGTAAGAGTCACGATGTACTTGTCTGACACATGGTAGGTGCTTAATAAAATACTCAGTGAATGCAAGCTTAATGCTTTAAAAAAGGTTCCTTTGACATCTATTGCAATTCTAGCTCAGGATAAAGCAGTGTTTTATTTACCCGTTTTTCTCATAAATTTCTGGGCTCTAAAATCTGTTATCTTTAGTGGGATAATTTATATTATTATCCAGACTTTCTGTTTTTGGTATTTTTCCTGTAATGGTCCCTCTCATGATTCTGTTCCCTGTCAGGAATTATATCCACTTAGAAGCTTACATTCCGGCTCATTGGTAGAACTCGGCACCAGCCCAAACCAGGGCCTGGGTCTGCTGTGGGAGAGGCTTGGCACAAGGGTTCCTGGCCTGGTCTGCAGTCTCCCGAAGGCTGGAGGCCTCGCCCTGGCCCGAACCCGGGCCTGCCTACTCCTCGGTGCCCTCCTGCCCACACCTGCCAGGTACCCAGGCGGCTGAGAGTTGGAGGCCCTTCCTGCTGACCGAGTTAACCAAAAAGCAGTCACTTTGTTTCCACGAGGACTAAGCAATCATTGGAAAACCTTCCTGTATGGGAGGAATTACAACTTTATAAAGGGATCTGTGAGTACTAATTAACCCGATAGATGATCCGAAAAACAGTACTGAATTGAATTTTATATTCCCAAAGATTTTATTAAGGACCAGCAGGCACGTGATTGCCAGGGAATAGCAGCTTCTTTCGAATGTTAGGATTTGGGTAAATAAATTACCAACGACCAGATGACTGATTACCTACTGACTGCTTGATCTGGGATGAGGTTGGCTTAGGAGGTATTTAAGTGGTTCTACCTAATAGTCTGATGGGTAGGAAATTGCTGGCTTCCCTGCTGCTGCATCATCACAGGGAGAACTTTTTCTTTTTTTTAAAAAAACTCAAACTAAGGGACTTCCCTGGTGGTGCAGTCATTAAGAATCCGTCTGCCAACGCAGGGGACGTGGGTTCAATCCCTGGTCCGGGAAGATCCCACGTGCCGCAGAGCAACTAAGCCCACGTGCCACAACTACTGAGCCTGCGCTCTAGAGCCTGCGAGCCACAGCTACTGAGTCCACGAGCCACAACTACTGGGCCTGTGTGCTGCAACTACTGAAGCCCACGTGCCTAGAGCCCGTGCTCCACAACGAGAGAAGCCACCGCAATGAGAAGCCCGCACACCGCAACGAAGAGTAGCCCCCGCTCGCCACAACTAGAGAAACCCGCGTGCAGCAGCGAAGACCCAATGCAGCCAAAAATAAAAATAAATAAATAAATTTATAAGAATAAATAAATAAATAAAAACTCAAACTAAATTTCTTTGCTGGCAATCCAGGACCGACCAAGGGATAATTCTGTACTGAGCTAATTCTTTTGTGGGCCCTCAAAGTCCAACAATACTTTGTGTGATAGAGATAACAGGGCTAAAAAGTCAAGAAACGAATCAGGGGGAACCAACAGGAGGACATTTTTTTCCAGAATGACTTGCCCACATGTAGGTTTTACTCTTCCTGAATCAGAGGACTTTTGTGCCCCTGATGAACAGATGCAGTCAACTTATATCTGCATCAAATTAGCCTTTAGTAGAAACAGTGTCACTCACTCTGATAGAGCAATTTCCTGATTCGAGGTACTATATACAGGTGTTACTGATAAATCAGAAGACAGTTATATTTGTATCGAAAGCCTTCTTTGCCTCATAGGGCTCTCCCCATTAAAAGTATGTGTACTACATGTGCAGTATTTGGGTAGAAGGAAGAAAATCAAATCAAGCGCCAAAACCCAGCTATAAAGACTGATGACATTTTTGGAGAACTTTCTTCATCTTTTTTTCAATGAATAGATGTGTCCGTGTGTGGTTGAGTTACAGTGTTGTGAACATACTGTATATCTATTTCGGGGTGCTTTTATTAATGCATTCTAACACGGCACAGCTCATGATTTCGTGGTCTTTACAAACAGTATCTTTGAGCTGAGACATCGGATGTATTTATTTTACAGAACCTGGCACAGTTCCCTCAAGGACACAGACCTGGGCACAGAGGGGTTGCGCTTCTTTATTTTTAAAATTTTTTTTGGCCACACCACTTGGCATGCAGGATCCTTAGTTCCCCAGCCGGGGATCGAACCCGTGCCTCTTGCAGCGGAAGCGCAGAGTCCTAACCACTGGACCACCAGGGAAGTCCCATGGGTTGCGCTTCTCACCAGCCTTGTGCCTTTGGCTGTGGAAAGCAAAGCACTCTGTGCCCGTTGGATCCAGCTGAGCTGATTGAGTTTATCTTATTATTTGCCCATATCCACAGCATCTCTTCTGTATGAAGATGTGGAAGAAAAGTTTATCAGATGAGATGCTGGTGCCCAGTGACTGTGCTCTGCATAGTTGAAATACTTTCCTCCTCCAGGCTGATTTCCAGTGTCATCCTTCTTTCCTGTGGGCTGGCTGGGGGTGGGGGGGGTGGGGGGGGAAGCTGGGCTCTGGCTCCCCGAGGGGCTTGGAAGGCTGATGTCCAGACACTCGCCTACTTTACATACTGGAGGTCACCACCCTACTGGTGGGATGAGGACTCCCTGTGTGAAATTAACACATGAAGGGAATTTATATCACGGTAGCCTTGGGCTGGTTTTTGCAAATTAAGTTTGGCAGAAACGAGCCTCAGCCCTGTCCAGGCAGTATTAATTTCGTACTGGTGTAGCCAAGGTGTTTCCATGACGTTTCTACCCTGAGAGGTTATGAGTCTGGTTTCCATTAGGACAGTGAGTCTTGCTGAGTAAATCATTGTCTCTTTAGTAAAAACTGCTGTTGACCAAGAGCGATTACCTTCAGTAAAACTCGATTCACACAGTGTAGCAGTTGGAGGAGAACATGTGTGAATGTGAAGGATGGTGTGTCAGCCAGCAGAGGCGCCAGCCAACTCCTTCAGAAGACTTTTGCAGGTAATAGTCACTATTCGGCATTCAGGAAAGAAACTTTGTTTCTCCCAGCGCACTCTCAGACCCATGGTGTTCAGCATCTCTCAGCTAACCATGCTTACTAAGCTGAGTATGTATCAGGGACACGCAATTAGTAATTTACAAAAATAAATATAACCATCATGGGGCCCTAAATGGCGACCTCTTCTCGGCCCCTGCAGGTGGGCAGAGGTCAGAGGGTTGCTGGCGTCTCTGCAGTGGAACAAGGGAGATCGGTGAATTGAACGATTGCTAGATCTTGGTACGGACAACAGGAGTGGAGACGCCCCTTCTAGTGGCTGAGGGTCCTTCTGCTCTGGACGTCAGCATTTGCTACGGGATTCTTCTTTCTCTACATCCCCACACTCCCTGACCCAAACTCTCTCTTTAATTATATTTCGTCATGAATTAGGCCTTTAACAGTCAGATTTTACAGGCCTCTAGGCTTCTTGCTCTTTAGAATTTGAATCTCAAGGGGGTGATGGTTCCCCTTGCTTCTAAGCTCTCTGGGGAAGGTTCACTGTTCAAGACGAAGGCCTATGATGGCCAGTTTCCAGGTAGGGTTCTGTTTAAATGATGCTGTTACGACTTGTCGCTTTTTCCAGGAGGGCTGTGTCTTTGTTTTGGTTTACTCTCCATACCAACATTGCTTTGTTGCTGTGGATATAACAATTTATATAAAAACATTCTGCCTAAAGGTTTTAAACGTGGGATTTATCTGTCATCTGGTCACGTAGCAGTTCGTGTCATGATGGTACAGGATGTTTGGCTTGGTGACACTCTCCAGCTCTGGGCTGCCTGGCAATGTTTCACTTAGCTGACATTTTTTGTTTGTTGGTTGGTTTTTGTTTTTGTTTTGCATTTTCACTGTGCCAGGTACCTTGTTAGGCAGAGTGAGAGAATATGAAATTGAATAGCTTTCTCTGCTTTCTAGATTCTTAGTCTAGTGGGACAGAGAGACATGTAAATAAATACGTAATGATGCTGTTGAGTAATGTTTGTCAGAATACAGAAGGAGGTGAGAGCCACAGCTCCCAAAGGCGGTGAGAACACATGGAGGACTCGTTGGCTGGAAAGAAAATGTTCTTGGGGAATTTCAGGAAGTCCGTAGCGCCTAGGGTTTGGGGTGACCAGGGTTCAGTGGTAGGGAATGGAAATTCTGGTGGAGGTCATCGTCTGGTAGGGCCTCTCATCCTGTGGGGTTGGGAGAGTCAATGGTATGCATATTGAAGAAACACACAAGAACGTTTTTTCTAAACCTGTGACTAAAATTAAACACCTACCCCTGGAGTATGTGGCTTCCTCGGTTGAAGAGCTAACTAAACTCTGTGAGCCCCTTATCTCACATTTAATAAGGATGCTGATAATGACGTCATTGGGCATCTTACCTAAAATAGAATGCCTTCAATGGAGCCTGGACCAGAGTTGGCATTCAACGCGTTATGTCCTCCTGTCCGTCCTATACACCTCCTGATTCTGTTCAACAGACGTTTGCACCAGCACCTCCGGTAGATTTGACAGGCACTGACCGCATGAGCCCCTCACCTCCTTCGTTCCTTTCCTTTATTGAGCGGTCCACTTTAGTATTTGTTCCATCTTTTGCTGATGGAGCACAGGTGAAAATTTACCTTTGCTGGGTGTAGGGTTTTCTCTCGCTTCTTGACCGTGGTCCCAGAACGGTCACAAGTGCTGGCTTGTGTCTCTCTTGGCCATCCTGATTTTCTCTTTTCTGTACTCATTGAGATTTGGGTACCTGGGTCTAAAAAAATGGAAATGAAATGAACTTTCTAAAAGAAGTGTACTTTAACTTTTTCTGGGTAAATCATCTTATCTCTTGTTTTGCAGACCTAAGCCTGACCCCAGTGTGCATTAACTTGGAGCCCTTCAGTCTTCTTCTTTTTTAAACTTGGTAGAAGAGAGGGGTAAGATGCCTAGTTTTACAAAGCTCAAGTTCAAAGATTCTCAAGTGTGATTGAAAATAGCTCCTGATGACACATCGTTTCTTTGGACTTTATCTTGTTTCTGTCTTTGGACTACAGACTTACCTATCTGGTTTCTCCATATCTGAAGGTTATGTTCCATTAGTAACTGTCTCCTGAGTGACAGGGGTCGTATTCCTATCAGGGTCCGCAGCAGTTAAAGCACATTTACGGAATTAATTTTCACCTGGTGTGTTAAAACTGCACCGTGGCCCTACCTGCCACTTGAAGGGAGGGAAGAGAAGTTTTGGATTTCGGTCTTTCTTTTAAAACGGAAATGGCGATCACCAGTTGGGTATCTCTGCTTGAGCAACACGCCAACGAAAAGCCTGGAGCCCCAGTAGATGAAATCGATGTGGGGAAATTGGAGGGTCTCGGCTGCCAGACCAGCCCTTGATGACGGAGGCTCAGTTTAGGTGAGTTTATTCCCCTGTTAGTTTCTAGAACAGGCAGAGGTATCCTGATACAGCTGTAATCACAGTCTACACATTAAACATCTTTGAACAGCTCAGTGGACCCTGAATTCTTGAGGCCGATATTTCAGACTGCACACTTGTGCTATCTTTGGCCGGAATGTCATGTCTAAGGAATTCTGCGTTAGCTCTTCGGGGCTATCACCAAGTGTCGGTGATCCCTGAACTGTTGACAGTCCTCCGGGCTAACTTTGGCTTGTCTTTACTTCAAAATGCTGTTCAAGAACATTGTTGCCAGAGAAGCAGCTTTTTAGTTAACGCTCTTGTGAGTTAATACCCTTGTGATGGGTAATTCCGCCCTCCCCACCCCCCGCCCCCCCGCAACCCGTACTTTTCTATAATGGAGAATTCACCAAATGGCTTGGTTTAGAAATGTGTTTTGTGTGTGTGCTTGCTAGGACTGAAAATGCAGTCCACTCTCTCCTGCTGTTCTGTCCTTTTCATCCTTTCATTTATTTGGAATTTCCAAAGACCGAGTGTGCTGGTTGGTCCTTTTTTGAATCTGCTGATTTGCTGTGAAGCTGACGTCAGGGTCTGGACCTTTACCCTTACATATGCTAATTATTAGATTACACTGGCAGTTGGGGGTTTTGTCAGTGGGGTTGAGAAAGGTGGATCATGTATCGGCTGTCTGCTTTGTCTCGGACTTGGCGATGATATTTTGGTGAGAGCCTGTTTGTGGCAGAGCAGTTTTGGAATCTGTGTTGTGTGGCACGTGGTTAGAGCCTGTCTTCAGGACTTGGGAAAAGTGGGTGTGTCCACGCTCACCCTCGTAGGGGTGTTAAGTTGAGAGGGGCTGTATGGCCTCTGTGGCCCCAGGTGAGTGTCAGGCAGTGAGTGGAGTGTGTCACCGTGGGTTGGGTTACCCCCAGACTTGCCTTCGTGAATACCTGCTTTCCCGCTCTGGCCTAAACACCCGGGAGGTGAGTCGTTGAGTCTGAAACACTTTCCCTTTTAGGTCTGGGTTGGGGGTAACACGACTGCAGGACAACAATCTTCTCCGGGTGATTTCGTCTGTTCGGGGCAAGTGTCGCCTGTGTCCTCAGTGTTGCTGCGCACATGCCCTGCCATTTAGAGCCTCGAGTTTTCGAGTGTGGGTTGTATCTGATTTTCAAGTAAAAGCCTCGGCCAGAATTGACTAATGAATGTACATCCATTTGTAAATGCAATTTCTGGTTTAACTTACTTGCTTTTCTTCCAGAGGCACTTATTATAAGGACGCAAGTCCAATACTTAATAGGGAGAAAAAAGGGGACATTTGGTTTTGTTAATTACAGACTAGGCGTATGGTGTGCAGATCGCTCACTTAGACGTTCATTGTTGGAAATTATTTTTCTGTTGTTCGTTTAATAAAAATAATTGAACCTCTTTTAGCCTGTTAGATAAAATTAAACTGACAAACTCTGTGGCATGCCTGGGGACAGTGTCCAGCTTGCCTCGACAGCTGCAGGGCCAGGGTGTACCCCAAAAAAGGCTGGCTGCGGATCCCATTTCTAGAAAGAAAACATCCCTGCGTGTGCCGTAGCGTCAAGATCCATCTGCGTTACATAAATAGCGCGCGCTGGTTAAAATAAGTCATTGTTTCATTCTTCGTTACACCAGGGTTCTTGCAAAAGCAAACTGAAGAGGAACCTGAGCGGTATCCTGAGAAAGAATAGAGGAAACTGATGTGACGGAGTCGTTGTTGGAAAGGTTTTTCCTGTTGAAGCCTTCATTACTTGAGAGGTTGGATTAAAGTAAATTCGTGAAAAACAGAACTTTGCATGTAACTATTCTATTTCAGAATCCCCTCTTTTAGCGTAGCCCCTTCCTGTATCTTCTCCTGTGTGAGCCACTCTCTCTGGAACATCTCTGTCCTGTTACTGAAGTTCCAGACAGTCTTGCCACTGATGTGCTGTATCTTACATCTAACTTAGAGATCTCTCCTCTTTTCCCTTCTTTTCTGACTTTCTCTGATAACTGCATTTAAATAATTTTACCACTTGTTAACATCTGTCGCTCGGAGTCACGGACAGGAGATCAAGGTAGAAATTTAAAATAGAGGATTGACATATACACACTACTATATATAAAATAGATAACTAATAAGGACCTACTGTATAGCACAGGGAACTCTACTCAATACTCTGTAATGGCCTATATGGGAAAAGAATCTAAAAAAGAGTGGCTATATGGATATATATAACCGATTCACTGTGCTGTACACCTGAAACTAACACAACGTTGCAAATCAACTATGCTCCAATAAAACTTTAAAAACAAACAAACGAAAAAACCCCAAACAAACAAAAACAGAATGTATCCATTTTGGTCCTCAATAGTTGTTCTGTTGGAAAAAAACCATATTCTCTTAGAGAAGAAGTTGAAAGTAGTGTCGTGGGAAGATTTCGTTTGTTCATCTTGTCTCCTTGGGTATATTGTAAGCTTCCTTAAGTCAGAGCTCTTGCCTTCGGTATCTTTCACCCCTTGCCACGGCCCATCAGTAAATGTTTAATGAACGCCCAAATGCAGGAATGAAGACGGCCTAGCAGAAGATTGATTTTTGTTGATGCCGTATCTGTTCTTAATCAGAAAATTTTTATTGGTCACTCATTGATGGCTCCAGCTCCACAGTCGATGGAAATGTTATTTGTACTCTAGGAATTTAGAGTCTGACAACAGAGAGAGGAAATATTCGCAAACTACAGAAAAGGTCACATTTTAAAATGAGTTTTATAGTAGAAGAGGATTTAGACCTATATATTTGTAAGGGGAGTGAAACATTCCATAGATGCCAGAGTGGGGAAGAGTGTAAACATGGCAGCAGGTGGGACACCGCCTCTGTCTGGGTCCAGGGCAGGCTTCTTGCCCTGGACACTGTGGCCACCTCCCATCTGTAGCCGGGCCAGGGGCGACGACTTGCACCGTAGTGTCAGCTTGAGTGCGTTAATTACAGGAATCCGCTTTTCATTCCATTGGTCCTGCCTCTCTCTTCCCCTTTTCCTTCTCCCGTTTTCTTCCCGACACCGTATTTCCTGGGGTAATCCATTCACTTGTGCATTCTTTCATTCAGCAGATACTTATTGGTTACCTGCTCTGTGTCAGATACCAACTCCGTAAGTCAGCGAGAGCCACAAATCTCGTGGTTTCAACTTTATGCCTCAGAGTCCGTAAAACGTGCCATGTGTAAGCACGTTGTTGTTATTGATGCTGATGAAAGCTGTCTTTTAATCACTGATTCCTCTTTTTGAGGCACGGGACTAAATACTGTCTGTAAATTAAACCCTTCTCTGACTTGAAAACCTCGGGCTTTCAAGATAAAGTTAACATTCCTCGGCCTGGGCTTTTCATGCTCAGCACTTCTGCTAAATAACTAGTCTTTCCAGCTGTAGCTTTTACTGTTCACGTAAACATGAATCATTTGCTCCAGCCATACCTGTTTATCCATCATCCTCCGTGAGGCTTTGCACAGCCCGGAGTGCGCTGCCCTTTTTCTCTCTTTGAAGATAGAGTGGAACCGTTCTTTGCGGCAACCCCCCCCCCCCCAACCCGTCCCCCAGGCCCTTTTTCTCCTTCCTCTAAATTCCCGCAGCTCATGCTGTGAGGACCGCCTGTCTGTCCGCTCTGGCACAGGGCCTCTGTTTCCACGGACTGCTCAGATGCTTGCCGCTCGGCGCCTTCCGTTTGTGGTCCGCCCCCAGTGTCTCGTGGAGCAGTAAACGTGCTGTTTGGTACCCTCACCCAGCGTTCCTTCCAGTCTTTGGATGTTAAAGGTATAAGAATCCTTCAGTTGTGTAGTGTTTCATATCTAACCTTTTCATCTTTGTAGATGGAGAAAAACTTAGTTCTGGGTCACTTAAAAAACAGAACAGGGCTTCCCTGGTGGCGCAGTGGTTGAGAGTCCGCCTGCCGATGCAGGCGACACGGGTTCGTGCCCCGGTCCGGGAAGATCTCACATGTCGCGGAGCGGCTGGGCCCGTGAGCCATGGCCGCTGAGCCTGCGCGTCCGGAGCCTGTGCTCCGCAACGGGAGAGGCCACAACAATGAGAGGCCCGCGTACCGCAAAAAAAAAAAAAAAAAAAAAAAAAAAAAAACCACAGAACATATTCAAGGGAAAATGAGAGAAGGCATCAACTTCGTGTTTGTTTTTTTGGAGGGCCTAACACAAGCATCATATTATCTCATGTAATCTTCTTGCCAGTCCTACCACATACTTTATGATCTCTTTAGGGATGGGAAGCCAGCTCAAAGGGGCAGGGCCACCCAGCTAATAGGTGGAGGAAGCAGGGTTCCCCTTTTTCTCAGGCTCTTGTTCTCCGAAGTCCTTGCTGTTTCCACCTGTCTTTCCCTGCCTCTCAGTTTGCTGCCTTTTTTTTTTTTTTTTTTTTTTGTAGTACGCGGGCCTCTCACTGTTGTGGCCTCTCCCGTTGCAGAGCACAGGCTCCGGACGCGCAGGCTCAGCGGCCATGGCTCACGGGCCCAGCCGCTCCGCGGCATGCGGGATCCTCCCAGACCGGGGCACGAACCCGTGTCCCCTGCACCGGCAGGCGGACTCGCAACCACTGCGCCACCAGGGAAGCCCCGTTTGCTGCTTTTGTTCAGCTGTTCCTCGTCTGCACTTGCTGTTGACTTCAAGCTGGTACCTGGTGAATTGATTTAACAATATCCCTTCATGTTGCCCATTTCCCCCTATTTTCCCTTTCCTTCCTCTTTCCATATGCTTGAATATTTTAAAGAACATTTTGAAAACAGGTGTTTGGTGTGTTTTTTTACTGGCGTTTGTGTGTTTTAACCCATACACCTCTTGAGTTTTCTTGCTGTATCACTTCCCCCAGTGGAAGAGAGTTTGCCCAGCCGCGGGTTCTATTGTCTGCGTTACGAAGATGGCAGGGGTGTCGGATGCCTTGAACTGGGACCGGCGGAGCTGTGGCGACAACTGATTTTTGCTCGTAGCAGCAGCAACAATGGCCACAGTCATTAATGCTCAGAAAGGCAGAATCAGCGGTTTTTCCAAATGTTTTTTCTGCTTTTGTGTAATACTGTTTAACTGCTTTTCTGGTTGAAAATTCTGCTGCTGTCAGGATTATTTCTTGTCTACATGAAGGTGCTGCACAGACGCCTGTGATTGGCCATCCTGTTGGCTTAAGTTAAAGCTATCCTTGTCATTTCTAAACTGGTTTGAAAATACAGAAGATGAAAATAGCAAAAAAGAAAGGAAAGGCATAGTAATTAAGGCTGACTTGTGGTAGACGGCTGGGTAGGAACGTTCATATTTTAAATACTGAGAAATGTAAATATTTGACTTGATATAATGTGACCATACATTCTTCACTAGATTGTGATTATTTAAACCTTCTGTTGAGCTCTTAGACAGATGGTCTTTTGAGTAATGAACACTCCTTTGAATACAGCAAGATGCCATTTGGTAAACGGACGAAGTGGCATTATTAATAAATATTTTATGCTTCAAAAGATCCAGTGTGACAGTGGGTAGCTGCAGAGTCGAAAAATCCTAAACTCCGTCTTATCGATAGCTAGGAATTTGCAAGCATTTCAACAGCTATTCTCTGTTTCTGCGCAGGAATGAAGATAGAGAATCACTGTCATAGATACTGTCATCAAACTGTGTTTAGTAAGAGTCTCTTGGCCTGTGTGTGCCCGGGCTTCACAATCACCAAGAGTCTTCCTTCCTCCCTGCTGGGTATTATAATAAGGCAACAGGATGTAGTGAGTTAGGGACATAGAGAAACAAAATTAAAATGGTCAAGAAGAAAAATAATAGGGACCGTTGTTTTTGTATATTTAACCTTAAAATGTAAGCTTGATTTTCAGTTAAAAAAAAAAAAAAGAAGCTTAGTTTTACTCTCCATATTTGTGCCCGAGCCCCTTCCCTTAATCCCCCAGTTTTAGGCACATGCAGGACCTCAGTGATTGGTAATCATTAGGAAAAAGTGTCCCACTTAAGTGAGTTTCCCAGATAACAGAAGCTCTCATCAAATACCACGCCCATCCTAATCACTTAGCTTAGTTTTTAAATGTATATCGTCATCTTCATTATAATTCATGAATACGTTAGAAACTGACATGCATCTCTTTAATCAGACATCTTGGTTCTCAAGGGCATCTGCTTTCCACTGTCGAGCAGTTAGAAAATCCACCGCTTACTTGAGAAGGGTTAAAAAAGGCCAAGTCATATCTTAGTATCATTGTGACAAGTTTGCACCTCAGAGGAAACCTGGAAGCGTCTCTGGGCCTCCCGGGTCAAGAGACTTTACCATGTTCACAGACCTGCCCACACTCAAGTGCCGTCTGGAATTCCTTATAAATTTCAGTGGGCAGCTGGCTAGCAGAACGTCCTGTTACTCTGCTGGTTTTTAAGGTGCAGTTCCAGAGTTAAACATTGCGACAAAACTAAACATTTTCAAACTGTCCAGGCTTTTCCAAAAATAGTGTGTTACTCCCTTTACCAACTCTCCCTGCCAAATAGAGGACCCAACGCACTAAGTGTTAACTGGAAAGAAGTTAGGTGAGGCTACTCCTCTCTCCCCACGTCGCCTTATTTGCAGTCTTCAGCAAATGCTGCAAAACAAGGCAGGTCAGAGCTCCATCCAGCAGGACAGCAGAACTGATTAAAGCACATTTTCCTTCACTTTGGACCAACCTCGATCCAGATAGGTTGCCCTAGAGATTTTTTTTTTAAGATTTTTTCCCTTTTTTTATTAATTAATTAATGCATTTTATTTTTG